AGGTCTGTGTTAGCAATAAAACCATCGCAGGCATATGTTAACAATAAAACCATCGCAGGTCTGTGTTAGCAATAAAACCATCGCAGGTCTGTGTTAGCAATAAAACCATTGCAGGCCTGTGTTAACAATAAAACCATCGCAGGCCTGTATTAGCAATAAAACCATCGCAGGCCTGTGTTAACAATAAAACCATCGCAGGCCTGTGTTATTTATAGAATATTCTTGCAGTTCTTTTTTTATTAAGATGTCTGTAAAGGTCTTTTTCTAAGAGCGTGCAGTATAAATTATTCTAAAATTACCACATTCAAGCATACAGATATATCTTACATGCGAAAACAAAAATCATCTGTCAGATATAATCAATTAGAAAGACTGGAGAAGTGAGTGATAAGCAACCGTTAAGCCTAAAATCAATTACGCCATTGATATAAAGCTTTGATCAAGCATCAAAAAAAGTCTATTCACGAGCACATTTTTCAACACTGCGCGTGGGAACTAAATGTTTGGCGTGATAAGATGCGCGAAGCTTTCATATTCCCTACCGTAGATGGTAAGAACGTAAACTTAATAATCAAGTGTGGGGGCAATGTACTGTATGTGTGTGTGTGTGTGAGTGTGTTTGTGTCTTAAGGAAATCTTACAGCGTCATGAAAAATATGTTTCAGATAGTAAGGGCTAACAGAGAAAACTGTCTGTGAAGAATTCAACTCACATTGTTAAAATAAACAGAGTAGAACAATACATCTCACTCAGTATAGGCTAACAGAGCAGAATGTCCGTGAAGATATACCGAGACAAGGTAAAAGTTAACAGAGTAGAACCACTGTGAACAATATATCCTAAACAATAAAAATTAACAGACTAGAACTTCTGTGAAAAATTTTTCCTACACAGTAAACGTTAACAGAGTAGAACGTCTGTAAATATTATATATTACACAATAAAAGTTAACAGCGTGAAACATCTGTAAACAATATATTCTACACGTTAACAAAGTGGAACTTACTAGAAGTTTTTATCTTTACTAAATAAGACTGTGAGACCACAGTTTAAATAATTCGTTACCAGACAAATATTTCAGTGAACTCAAACTATCTAAAGTTATTGTGATGTATTGTGCCCAAACTCTTCCATGTTACTGTTTTAAAGTAACTCATTAATTCTTCTAGTCGCAGTACAATCAAGACCCTGGTTGCTAATCTGAACTATAAAACTTATACTGAAGTGGAATTGTTAATAACAGCAATGATTAACCCGAGTTCCTGCACAACTTTGTTTAATTTAATAACTTATTAAAAGTTCATTGATGTACGAAAGTATGTATACTAATCACCAAACAAACATTTGTTTTCAAAGTAGGCCTAGTAAATATGTTTTTATTGTTTACCAACAGACTAAAATTTTCGTACTTCGGTTCATAAAAATGCATAGTTTTCTATTTTAACTTTTAACCGTTGTTAAAACTAGATTTATTGCCCTAATAGTAATTATGATCATTATTTATATATATACAGGTATTCATAACCAGTGCCAATGTATAAGAGGCTGCAAGAAAAAAACTTAAGTTGCTTAAATCGTATTGTTCTGTGATTCCACCTGACGGGCAAAATAAGAATTTCTCATAACAGTCATTATCGATTCCTATATAACTTGTCATATTATACTGTCTCATCTTTTCTAAACTAATCCTGTTAATATTTGCCTGTGGCGCCGTCTATTGGTAATTATATCTGTATCGCCATTGTTACATTATAGGTTATATTAGCGTACGGTTTACCAAATTTCAAGTTTTTCAGTCTTAATATAAAAAATTCCCTAAATCCAGCAGTTATGCAACATTTGTTAAAGAAGCAAGCTTCGGTTACTAAACGTAGAAGTGTTGGTAATGTTTGCTTTCTAGTACCTTCTGTAGGTTGACACAATATGGCCGCCACTCATCTAGAGAAGTCTACTCCAGGAATGTTTGTTTGTTTGTTTTGGAATTTCGCACAAAGCTGCTAATGGACTACCTGCGGTGGCCGTCCCTAATTTTGAAGTGATAAACTAGATGGAAGGCAGCTATTCATCACCACCCACCGCCAACTCTTGGGCTACTCTTTACCAATTAATAATGGAACTGACTGTTACTTTATAACGTCCTCACAGTGTAAAGGGCCAGAGTGTTCGGTGACGGAATTCGAACCTGCGACCCACAGATTACGATTCGAGTGCCCTAAACACAAGGCCACGTGAGAACATTACAGGAATCAAATGTGTAAGCTACTGACCAGTCGTTGTTGTTATTACCGTAGAGAAAATAAAAAAAAAGAGTATTATTGGTTATTCTTACATTGATTATTAAAAATCAACATATTATTACGTATTTCAAAAATCCCAAAAAGCGTAGTACAAGTTGGAGCTACTTTGAAATATGTTTTGTAAGAGTGAAAAATATTTGTTATCAAATACTTTTAGCAACTGTAATGACTTATGATGTTATTTTTCTTTAATTAAAACTTCCTAGGTATTTAATTTCTTCTAATAATTAGTTTGTGGACGTTTCTTGTTCAAAAAATAGAATATTTACCATTCGTAAGAGTAGAGGCAGTTGGTAAAAATCCGTTAAAACGCACCAATGATCGAAACAATATACCTCTTCTAAAAAATAATCTTCCTTATTGTAAAAGCTGTAACTTCTAATAAAATAATGCTATTGTTGTGTTTACTGCCTTTACTATTTTAGGCTTTTGTTTACTTTTGGTTGGAAATATTACGTTTTTATCTGCTTACTGCCTTTGCAATTATAAATATAAAAATGTTTGGGCTATTCTTTTATAAGATGACGGAAATCCAAAATAAACGGAAAATCTGGAATACCCTAAACTGAAACTGAAAAGAAAACTAGACGTCTGGAACACCCAAAAGTTGTCCTAGTACAGTCTAATACAGTGGAACTGTTACTGTCTCATTAAGTACAGTCTAAGAATGTTCATTTGGTGATTTCAAAGTCCTAGCTATTATATACATTACAGAATACGATGTTCTATCAGGTACCTTAGTATAAATGTTCTAGGTTTCTCAGAATGTTCGTCCTTTTAGCTATTATATACATTACAGAATACGATGTTCTATCAGGTACCTTAGTATAAATGTTCTAGGTTTCTCAGAATGTTCGTCCTTTTAGCTATTATATACATTACAGAATACGATGTTCTATCAGGTATTTTACTATTAGTGTTCTAGGTTTCTCGGAATGTTCGTCCTTTACTTGTAAATTTTATAAAAGTAATTTCTATATGAACATCAATGAATTTCAGCTTGTAATGGTACTTTATTTGCATCACACACGCCTTGCGTGCTGCGCTCAGAATACTTAAATGATTTATATACAAATAAAAAAGTCTACAGGTGACCCAGTTTTAAAGCCGCCGAACTGGTCTCCCTAATCAGAATTCCATCTTTGAAACATTCTATCGAGGGTTAAGTAAAGGTGCCGGCCAATGAGAATACTTCATTCAACCACGTGCTGCAATAGAACGTGAGCTAAAATTGTTCGTTTCACCCAGGTGCAGCTGGTCTGAATAGTGGGTTGTGCAAAACTTAGGTTCAGGTTAGGATTAACACCACTAACTAGTTATAGCTTATTTCCAGCAAAGTGTGAACAGAAACACTGTACAAACTGGACTTAGAAAGTATGCCCATAAAATCGGTTGGATGGAGATTAAAATTTAGGTGATTACGCAAGATTCGTGAGTGATGTTTTTATTGTATCAGCACTAAGTTCTCTCCCTCACTCCCCCCCCCCCAAAAAAAAACGTGCTAGCATACGTACTTCGATGCGGATAAACTAACAAACAAACAATGCTTTTCGACCATGTATCCTTCTACGTCATTGTTGTGACATCAAAGGTATGTAATCCAAATGAAATACAGTCGATGTGATCTTTGTCATTTAATCTGTTCGAACTTCCGAAAGTTATCAGAAGAACGTACAATGGATTGCTGTGTCGTAGGTTTACTGAACTTTGTTTTTAAGTTAAAAACTACGAGATAAGAAGGTTCAAATTCAATATGAACATTAATTATTCATATTAATAGATAATAGGTATAGCTTAATTATTCGGAACAAACTTTCAGTTGTTAATAGATTGGTAAAAACGATCTGTCGCTACGAAAAAACTAAACAAAAATAAACCGATTAGAGATTAGCTTGAATATCGTATTTAAATGAACTCTAACTCAATTGTGATTACTCTTCTTTACCTGTATTATTGGACTCTATATTAATTGTGATTGGTCTTCTTTACCTGTATCATATGGTCTCTATGTTAACTGTGATTGGTCTTCTTTACCTGTATCATTGGACTCTATATGAACTGTGATTGGTCTTCTTTACCTGTATTATTGGACTCTATAACAATTGTGATTGGTCTTCTTTACCTGTATCATTGGACTCTATATTAATTGTGATTGGTCTTCTTTACCTGTATCATATGGTCTCTATGTTAATTGTGATTGGTCTTCTTTACCTGTATCATATGGTCTCTATGTTAATTGTGATTGGTCTTCTTTACCTGTATCATTGGACTCTATATTAACTGTGATTGGTCTTCTTCACCTGTATCATATGGACTCTATGTTAACTGTTATTGGTCTTCTTTACCTGTATCATTGGACTCTATATTAATTGTGATTAGTCTTCTTTACCTGTATCATTGGACTCTATATTAACTGTGATTGGTCTTCTTTACTGTATTATTGGACTCTATATTAACTGTGATTGGTCTTCTTTACCTGTATCATATGAACTGTAACTCAATTGTGAATGGTCTTCTTCACCTGTATCATTTGGACTGTATATCAATTGTGAATGGTCTTCTTCACCTGTATCATTTGGACTGTATATCAATTGTGATTGGTCTTCTTCCCCTGTATTATGTGGACTCTATATTAATTGTGATTGGTATACTTCATCTATACCACGTGACCTCTATATTAACTGTGATTGGTTTTCTTCACCTGTATCATTGGACTCTATATTAATTGTGATTGGTCTTCTTCACCTATATTATATGGACTCTATATTAAGTGTGATTGGTCTTCTTCACTTATACCACGTGGCCTGTATATCAATTGTGATTGGTCTTCTTTACCTGTATCATTGGACTCTGTATTAACTGTGATTGGACTTTTTTACCTTATTCATTTGTTTGTTTACAAACGCATAGCTACGCAATAGACTGTCTGTGCCAATAATATTAGTGTTAGAAGTCCTAAAGGTCGCCGCTGACCAATCGGAGGGCTTCTTTTGCTTTATGAAAAAAAAATCAAAAATGTGTATCAGTCAAATTTAGGGAAAAGGGAAAACTGATACTTAACACACCAGTTAAAAAGTCATATTCGCGCTAATTTAAAAGTAGTGTCTATTAGACATATGATTACATAAAGCGTCGTTACTACTGATATTAATGCATGAAAATATGTTTACATTTTTTTCTTTGCTTGTGAATATTTTTATACTTCTGAAATCGATACAATGAACAAAATAAAAAATGTTTAATAGTTGAAACATTTAGCTCAAATCAACTCAAATTGGCGTTATACTAAAAATGAAACCTTCAGTAGGAAAAGGGTTAACATATTTTTATATTCAGTCTTTGGAAAAAGTAAATAAAATACGCTGTGAAAAAAATGAAACAATCCAGTTACATGAGTAACTATTATGTTCATAAATCATCACAAGTTTTTCATAATAGCATCAATAATAGTCATAGCATGTACAATAGTAACTATTATTTTACATTAAGGGGCTATACTATGATACCAAATGAATACATTTTTCTGTATGGTTTCACGTGAATACAGTTTACTATACGGTTTCACATTAATATTCTGATCTATGGTTTCAAATTAATATTCTAATATATGATTTCACATGAATATACTAAACTATGATTTCACATGAATACACTGAACTATATGGTTTCACATGAATACTCTGATCTATGGTTTCACATGAATACTCTGATCTATGGTTTCACATCAATATTCTGTTCTATGGTTTCACATGAATACTCTGATCTATGGTTTCACATGAATACTCTGATCTATGGTTTCACATCAATATTCTGTTCTATGGTTTCACATTAATACTCTGATCTATGGTTTCACATTAGTACTCTGAACTATGATTTCACATTAATACACTGAACTATGTGGTTTCACATTAATACACTGAACTATATGGTTTCACATTAATACACTGAACTATATGGTTTCACATCAAGACTCTGATCTATGGTTTCACATTAATATATTGGATTATGGTTTCACAATAATACACTGAACTATATGGTTTCACATGAATACTCTGATCTATGATTTCACATGAATATACTGAACTATATGGTTTCACATGAATACACTGAACTATATGGTTTCACATGAATACTCTGATCTATGGTTTCACATTAATACATTGGATTATGGTTTCACAATAATACACTCAACTATATGGTTTCACATGAATACTCTGATCTATGGTTTCACATTAATACACTGAACTATGGTTTCACATAAATATGTTATGCCACTATTATCCATAGATAGATTACACCGTGTTATTTTACCACGTATTGCTGTTATTGTATCATATTCAACATCCATAGACGAAGTTCAGTAAAATAATTAGTTTAAAATAGTATAAAACACTTGAATAAAATCTGTCAAAATAATAGTTAAGTAAACCACCTTCTGAGGGCGATTTAAAACACAATAACTTGTTACGTTGGTTTTATCAGTGTAGATCATACAACTCAAGTTTCTTAACCAACTAATTATTTAAAAGATATAAATTATTTTAGTTTATTAATTATTTAAATAAATGATAATTATGACAAGCTGCTCTCTCTCTCTCGTTATATATATATTAGCTGGAGTACCCTTTCAGTGCACGTGGAAGAAATAAGGACTCCGGGGATTGACATATGGGGTGATAAATCTAAATGCCGACTCCCCTCCCCTCTATGTCACTCCCCGGACTACACCTAAGAGTGCATGCCATATTTGGTGACAATCGTTCCAGAGCAGGCACATAGACTTTTGTAAAATAATGGTTTCGATATTAAATATTACCGAACTATATCCATAAACTCAATTTATAATTTATAAGTCGGGTGTAAACTAGCGGTTAGAGTGGGGCTACGGATGGAATGGTCCAAGGTTCGAGACGTGATGCCGCAGAACATGCTTCGCACTTTCACCTGTTAGCGCGCATTATAAAACAGGTGATTAATCTCATTATTCCTCAAAGACCCGAACATAAACATTACAGTAGTGGGGGCTGCTGGCTGACTATTCTCCCTTTGGTCAGTAGTTTAAAGTTAAGGACATCTAGACAGAGTATAGCTGAACTCTAAGGGTTCTCTGACCTGTTTGCTTAGCCTCCAGACATATAAGGTGCGGCTTAGGTTGAAAATTTCAACGGGACATTTTCTTTTCCTTTAAGATAACAATATTCTATGTTAAATTTCATCATTAAAAAATATGGTGACGCACGTGTTATACACACTTCGAGATTCAGCTTTTCCCACGAATAGTCTCGCGCGCACATACGTGTGTGTACAAATATAATTACAAGCTATAAACTATACGGTAACATAGAACTGTAAACTCGGTTTCTTTGTTAACGACCAGGAGAGTGGATTATCTCAAAAACGCCGAACAGCTTAATGTTTCTCAAAGAAAACAAAAAATCAAAACAGAGTGTACAATCCGCACATATAATAAGGGCATTCTGCGTAGACAGGAGACTAGTAGGTATTAAAATTAGGAATACAGGAATAAAATACATTAACCTGAAACTATTCTTGCACGACAACGTCTAGTTATCTCACTCAGCGCCCTCCACCTATATTTTTATCCTAAACCGGTTAATAAACGGGCTTTATTTATTTTCTCAAACCCATGAGACTCTAATTTTAGGAATATCATAAAAGAAAGTTTAAAATTCTTACGGTACATTTTCGTATATCCGATTTATGAGGATAAAATCCTTGCTTCGGATCGTCTATTTCATCATATGTATGTATATTAGTTAGTTTGTTTGTTTGTTATGGATTTCGCGCAAAGCTACACGAGAGCTATCTGCACCAGCCGTCCCTAATTTAGCAGTGTAAGACTAGAGGGAAGGCAGCTAGTCATCACCACCCACCGCCAACTCTTAGGCTATTCTTTTACCGACGAATAATGGGACTGACCGTCACATTATAACGCCCCCACGACTAAAAAGGGCGAGCATGTTTGTCGTGATGGGGATTCGAACCCGCGACCCACAGATTGCGAGTCGAACGCCCTAACCACCTGGTCATGCCGGGCCCGTGTATATTAGTGGCACAGCTCAAGATACCATCAAACCAATTCTTTGTGGTTACAGTTATGAAAATAATTAATAAATACAGCTTGTCCATAACAGACTCCAGAATAAGTTTTCCTGATAATTATATAAATATTGACAGAGGATTTAGATCATTTTCACTACAAATAGAAAAAAGAAAACAGAACATGGGTAGCATGGTAGAAAAAAATAAAATCTATTCAGATGTCTGGTTTAGTTGCTGTTAATCAAAAAGTTACAAAGTGGGTTGTCTGTGCTCCGCCCACCACAGGTATCGAAATACGAACTTTAGCGTCGTGAAGACTTCTGCTGAGTCACTGGGGTGCAATACTAATACTAGAAAACTAATTTTGTTTGGTTTTGTTTGGTTAGACAAACAATGTTTGGTATTGGGTAATGGTTAGATGAATAATGTTTCGTATAAAATAGTAACAATGATTGGTATTGGCTAATGGTTAGATAAACAATGTTTGGTATTGGCTACTGGTTAGATAAACAATGTTTGGTATTGGCTATGGTTAGATAAACAATGTTTGGTATTGGCTAATGGTTAGATAAACAATGTTTGGTATTGGCTGATGGTTAGATAAACAATGTTTGGTATTGGCTACTGGTTAGATAAACAATGTTTGGTATTGGCTGATGGTTAGATAAACAATGTTTGGTATTGGCTAGTGGTTAGATAAACAATGTTTGGTATTGGCTGATGGTTAGATAAACAATGTTTGGTATTGGGTAATGGTTAGATGAATAATGTTTCGTATAAAATAGTAACAATGTTTGGTATTGGCTACTGGTTGGATAAACAATGTTTGGTATTGGCTAATGGTTAGATACGTGAATTCTAATTGGCTTACGTATTAGTTATGACCCTCTTCTGGTACTACACCAAACTTTCATTCTTACTTTTATACTCTAAAAAGAAAATTGTTTTAAAAAAGCTTCTGTTGTCTTTTATAAATAAGAAAATCAGATCTCTTTATAATTTATTAAATGTCATCTCTTTTTGTTTTTTGCTTCAGGCCTCTGAATGACCCACAATCATGACAGTTTGGCCTAGGCCTTCATCGCCCCTGATTCTCGCGATTAGTCTCACCATGGTAGCGGTGGTGGGATCTCTACAAGATGGTGAGTCACAGCCTGTTATGCCTTCTCCACTGGGGTGTCGATTCACCAGAGAGGACGTCACCATAGAATGCCATGACACCAGTCTCGATAACGTTCTTCATGCCTTCAAGATCTTAACCGCGTTCATCAACACAACACACGAACCTCGCAGCATTGCTATCAAAGACTGTGAAATACCCTATCTACCGTACGTTTTTCCAAAGTTTAACGAAACGTTAGAAAGAGTGCACCTAGTCCACAGCCAACTAGAGTACGTCTATCCAGATGCTTTTGCTCATCTCCAGATCAAGCTACGTTACCTGGATTTTTCACATAATAAACTCCATTCTATTCCGTATGCCTTCAGCACCCTGCTCTCCTTAGAGATTCTTAATTTGCAGTATAATCAGATCGTTTTTATTTGGCCTGGGCCACAGTTTCACTGGATGTTCGGCCTTCGGGAACTTAACTTGGCTTACAACCAGATTGGCTTATCCAGTGACTATGTCCCGGACGTTCGGAGGATTACCATCAAGGAACCTGTTGTAGACCATCTTTATCAACTCGCCCAGAACTTAACCCTTGAAGAATTTAACATCGAACCCATTTCTAGTAGTCTTGAAGTCTTGAATTTAAGTGGAAACAAATTAGCGACGCTTCCCTTGCAATTGTATCGAAGAAGGCTACCAAATTTGAAAACTCTTGACCTAAGCAACAACTTATTGTCCGAACTGCCCAAAATGACAACTCGTGTGTTACCAAAAATCAGAAGATTGAACTTACGATCAAACTTCATTCAAAGCTTGGGTTTCTATTCTTTGCCCATTGGCCTTCACGAGCTTGATCTTTCTGGTAAGTATATCACACGAAAATAACACACAGTTTATTCACTTTATTAGGCTTAGCCTTCGAATTATTGTTAACGTTACTAGTTCTTTAATGTCAAGTGGACTACAAGGAAATGATAAACAAAAGTATACAAATATACCATCAAGGAACCTGTTGTAGACCATCTTTATCGAACGATAAAGAGCATGATTTATTAAGAACTGAAATTGCTAGATCATTTATTGAAATTATATAAAAATTCTATTCAAAATAATGCATCACAACATAGATCATTTCTGTTGTTATTCGTTAGAACAAGGTTAGCATTATATTTTTATCCTTTAATCCTAAGTCTGAAGACTTATAACGTTAAGTATCGGGTTTTATGCTCTTGGTGTACACAACACAGATAGCCTATTGTGTAGCTTTGTGACTGATAATAAACAAACCAATAAGCTGCCTCAAAACAAACTGGTTGTTAGTAAATAAACCAATAAGCTGCCTCAAAACAAATTGATTGATAATAAACAAACCAATAAGCTGCCTCAAAACAAACTGATTGATAATAAACAAACCAATAAGCTGCCTCAAAACAAACTGATTGATAATAAACAAACCAATAAGCTGCCTCAAAACAAACTGATTGATAATAAACAAACCAATAAGCTGCCTCAAAACAAACTGAGCTAATACTTCGTACCAATAACATCTTAAAATGTGTATCGTAGTACCATCTGCCACATCCGTATGTAAAAACATTAAACCGTGAATATTTCATATTTTAGGAAATAATTATTTCACTTGTTTGATCCTTGAAAAAAATTCTAATAGAAAGGTTATCCAACTTTAAGAACATGGTTATCTAGCTTCATAAACAACCTTATCCAACTCCATGAACAATCTTATCCAACTCCATGAACAACCTTATCAAACTCCATGAACAACCTTATCCAACTTCATGAACAACCTTATCAAACTCCATGAACAACATTATGAAATTTCATGAACAACCTTATCCAACTCTATGAGCAACCTTATCAAACTCCATGAACAACCTTATCCAACTCCATGAACAACCTTATCAAACTCCATGAACAACCTTATCCAGCTTCATGAACAAATTTATCAAACTCCATGAACAACCTTATCAAACTCCATGAACAACCTTATCCAACTCCATGAACAACTTTATCCAACACCATGAACAACCTTATCCAGCTTCATGAACAAATTTATCAAACTCCATGAACAACCTTATCAAACTCCATGAACAACCTTATCCAACTCCATGAACAACCTTATCCAACTTCATGAACAAACTTATCCAACTCTATGAACAAGTTTATCCAACGTCATGAACACTCCATTACGTGTAGACGTGCACTCATTCAGTTATCAACATGTTAGAATCCTTAATTAGTGAACTTTCACCCTTAAATGGTTACTTCAGTGGTAACACCTTCTAGCTGCTAATTCTATACACCCCCCTCCCCTACCCCATGAAGAGAATTCTATTAAAAAGCAAATAACGTTTACTTTAGTCCTTGACATGATGTTGCGTGGTTTGAATTATTGGATAAAGTGAAAAATAATTACATCATTAAATTATATTGATGTCCTCCGAATTCTCTCGATTAGGATACCAGAACGTAAAACGAACCCGTCTTAAAAAAATATCTCCAACTACTTATAATTAAAAATAAAAATGTATTTGTCCGGACTCATGAAGTTTATAAATGTAGGTAAACGTATTTTTATTAAATATCGTTGATCAATTAAACATTTAGAAAATTGAACGCATTTGTTTGAAAGCTGAACAGCACCTTTTTAAGTTTAAGATTCGGGGGGTAAATTAATTATAATATTTAAATAATTAATATTTACTAAAGTTACGAAACAAAACATTGTAAAATAATTGATATTTACTAAAGTTACGGAACAAAACATTGTAAAATAACTAATATTTAGTAAAGTTACGGAACAAAACATTGTAAAATAACTAATATTTACTAAAGTTACGGAATTAAACATTGTAAAATAATTGATATTTACTAAAGTTACAGAACAAAACATTGTAAAATAATTGATATGTACTAAAGTTACGGAACAAAACATTGTGAAATAACTAATATTTACTAAAGTTACGGAACAAAACATTGTAAAATAACTAATATTTACTAAAGTTACAGAACAAAACATTGTAAAATAACTAATATTTACTAAAGTTACGAAAGTATTGTAAAACAGTCACTACTTATCAAAGACAACGGATTGTTCTTTTGTTTTAGCGTAAAGCTACGTAATGGTATGTCTGCCCTCTTCCACCATGTGGAATCGAGACTCGGAGCATAGCACTGTAAGTCCGGAAACTTACCGCTGACCCACTTATGGACAAGGGAAACTAACTTATTTCTAAAGTGGATTTTTAAGTTATTTAACCCTTTTTTTTTATTTTTGCGAACAATATTTTGCTAGCAGTTATAAAAGAAAGAAAAACGTGTGAGTTAAAAGGTCACAGTTGTCGAACGCTCTAAATGTAATCCATGTTTTGTTAAATAATATTATTGGTATTTTGGTTATAACAACTTTTTTATGTTTTTTAATTGAGTATAAAAAATTAAACTTAGGCGCTCCCAAAAAATCACGAAAGTAGAGTGTTAATTTTAATTTAAATACTGTAAATATTTATTTATTTAACAACACATCTCAAGCCATTATTCACTCCTACCAGTGGCTCAGTGGTGAATCTGCAGGCTTACGACGCTGTAAATCGGGTTTCGATACCTGTGATGGGCACAGCACATATGACCCACTGTTTTTCTGCTTAACAACAAACAAACCAAACCACCATCTACCGTGAGCCGAAACATTCTTATGAACAAAACTTTATATTGTAGTAAATTCAGCGTTTTAACTCGGTATTTAGTTTGTGTTAAAAAGGATCAGATTAGGGTTAGCTCATTATTTCCACTTTGATTCTTATATGATTCCAAAATATCTAAAAATGGAAATATTTAACCCCCTAACGGCGCTTTATTCAACACATAGGCTAAACGGTCAGGCGAGAAGTTCCAAAGGTTCATATATGGCCGTCACTAATTTAGATTTGTAGGCCAGAGAGAGAGAGAGGACATCAATCAGAAGCACCCTCCGCCTATTCCGCTACTCTAAACCGTATAGGTCCTGTTCAGTAAAAAATATCGAAGGCTTAGACCTTTCGTATAACAGGCAGATTAATATTATTCTTAGCCACTTTCTGTGGAACTGGGTGGGGCTTAGTGGGCAACATGCGGGTACTCGATGGTTTATGGTTCGCGTCCTGTTGTCGCAAAACATAGTTTAAATGTTTATTACTACCGCCAACTCTTGGGCTACTATTTTTACCAATGAATAGTGGGATTGGCTGTCACATTATAACGCCCCCTACGGCTAAACGGGCGAGCATGTTTGGTGTGATGGGGATTCGAGCCCGCGACCCTTAGATTGCGACTCAAGCCGACCTACCCGCTCGGCCATGCCGGGCCGCTACAGCCAACATGAATAAATCACCTTTAATATCACATACTGCAACAAATTATTCAGTCAAAGCTGCGAAACAGATATTTTATCCTCAATCTTGAGATAGATACCAGATACCAGGTCAGACAAAACTATTTTGTTCCGAAGATTCCATTCAGTACTAGAATGTAATATTAATGGTTAGTTTCATTTTTCTAGCACTCATCAATATGCCCTTTCATAATCATTTTAAATTTCATTGGTTAATTTCAATGTACAACAGTTTAAAATAAACATTGTTTCTATATACCCCCACCCACCCACACAGCGGTAGCTCAGTAATAAGTTTACACTAAAATTCGAGTTTCGATACCCGCGGTGGGCAGAGCACAGATAGCCCATTGGGTAGTTTTCTGATTAATAACAAACAGAACAAAACAATACTTAGGGTAAGTTACTATTAATCACCCATACACATATATATACTGATTTGTAAAGTTAAATAATATGCGAATTAACAATTCATTTCTTATTCGTGAAGAGCAGTCGCCCTCGAGATTGTTTTACCCCGTTCTATGTATACGATATTTCGTGATAAAAAAAATGGACGACGTTTCAAACTTTTTTTTTTTGAAAAATGTATTTTAATGAAAGCTACAAAAAACAATCTATCCTTAGCCCGATGAAAGCTAATACCATTTAGAGTAGGCCAAGGTCTCCTGCCTTAAGGCCTCGTTACGGACCTTCATCGCATAATTACCATTTTCATTAACTTGTTTACAACTGTATAAGAAGGCCATGACACTTTGACGTCACAGGAGTAGGATCTGAGTACACGAACACAAAATTCCAATTGGGTGCAACAGTAAGATGAAACAAATGGGGTATATTTTTGTGGTCACAATTTACTCAACATTTGAATATCAAAGAGTTTACATAAGAAAATTTGGTTTGGTTCTTGTTAAGCGCAAAGCTACACAATGGGCTATCTGTACTCTAGCCACCACGGGTGTCATAAGCTTCCAGACGTACCACTGAGCCACTAGGGGCAATAAAGAAGCAAAAAGGTTTAACTCAAGTACAAGATGAAACCGGTGAAATCAATAGTTGTTTATTTATTGAAACTGAAACAGTGGTGAAACCGGTGGGATCAATAGTTCTTTATTTATTGAAACTGAAACAGTGGTGAAACCGGTAATATCGATAGTTGTTTATTTATTGAAACTGAAACAGTGATGAAACCGGTGAAATCAATAGTTCTTTATTTATTGAAACTGAAACAGTGGTGAAACCGGTAAGATCGATAGTTATTTATTTCTTGAAACAGTGATGAAACCGGTGGGATCAATAGTTGTTTATTTATTGAAACTGAAACAGTTTGTTTTCAGTGAAACTCAAGTACAAGATGAAACCGGTGAGATCAATAGTTATTTATTTATTGAAACAGTGATGAAACCGGTGAGATCAATAGTTGTTTATTTATTGAAACAGTGATGAAACCAGTGGGATCAATAGTTGTTTATTTATTGAAACAGTGATGAAACCAGTGGGATCAATAGTTGTTTATTTATTGAAACTGAAACAGTTTGTTTTCAGTGAAACTCAAGTACAAGATGAAACCGGTGAGATCAATAGTTGTTTATTTATTGAAACTGAAACAGTTTGTTTTCAGTGAAATGTTATCAAACGTTTATCCACAAATTCGCCGATTTCTAATATATTTATTATAAGTCTGAAAAATTATAATTTTTCTACAATAAATTTAACGAGAGACAAAAATATTAAAAGAAAATTAGGAACAGCAAACATGCAAAAAAAAATATATTTAAAATATAAATACTTTCGGTTGTTTCTCCACCCCGTAAAAACCAACCTGCTACAAGAAACTGCAACAACAACTTCCGTTGGGAGGTGTTCTTGCGGCCCTATGCTCCACTGGGAGTTTACGGGAATATAAAAAATTATTAGCATAAACTACATAATTAGCTGACTGAACTATATCCAACACGGTGATCGAACCCTGATTTTTACCTATATAAGCTCTTAATCGAAAGTAGCATGATAACCTCTCATAATAGTGAAGAAAAGGTTTAAAAGAGTAAGATGAAAAAGGATTTGTAAAATACTTCACAAAAACTGTAACTTTTAAATGATCCACTAGTGACAAGTTCTTATGGATTTTTTTAAGTGTTGACTTTTGTTGTTCTAAAAATGTAAAGCTATAAGATCCATGTAACTATGATTTCATAGACCACAGTAATTGTTTACAAAAAAAAAAAAATTGTTTTCAAAAACTTATCATGAATAATATAAATGCCCGGCATGGCCAGGTGGTTAGGGCGCTGGACTCGCAATCTGGGGATCGCGGGTTCGAATCCCCGTCACACCAAACATGCTCGCCCTTTCAGCCGTGGGGGCGTTATAATGTGACGGTCAATCCCGCTATTCGTTGGTAAAAGAGTAGCCCAAGAGTTGGCGGTGGGTGGTGATGACTAGCTGCCTTCCCTCTAGTCTTACACTGCTAAATTAGGGACGGCTAGCGCACATAGCCCTCGTGTAGCTTTGCGCGAAATTCAAAAACAAACAATAATATAAATTAAATTTTGTAATTTCAGTTGTAAAATCAAATAACCTGGACACAAAAAACGAACTGATAAATAATTTACAAACTATCTTTATTATCTAATTTTATATTTCTGTTTTTTTTGTTTTTGTTTACAGAAAATCCCCTTCGATGTGACTGTGACATTCTTTGGCTCCAGGAATGGGTTGACAGCAATAAAACTGTCATTTTCCTGCCCACCTGCAATTCTCCATCAGATGTGAAAGGTCAATTTTTGCTACAGTTGACAAATGCCACCTTGTGTGGTGAGAGAAATGAAACGGTAGCTGTTTCTCACACACCTGAGAAATTTGAAGACTTCGAGCTCTTATCCTTAACCAGTACTCCAAACACCGTCAAAGTGTCATGGAGAGCAAAGGTAAACGAAAAGAATGACAAAAAATGGAAGGTTTTCTATAGACAGTCAATCGACAGTCGATACAAAATGACACTTAATTACAGTGAGATTGAGACGTCTTATATTGCAAACAACAGCACCAATTCCTCGAAACCGTGGGCGTATACCACTTACGTAAGCGAAATAAATAACCTCGAACCCAATACCTATTACATAATCTGCATCTCTGTTTCCAACTTTGCTAGATTTTTCATACAGCCAGAGAAGTGTCAAGCAATCCAAACCAGTGTTATAGTGTCTCAAACGTCTACTATACGTGTAGTAAAAACACAAAGCGTTAAGACTAAACAGAAGTTTAAAACAAAAACGATTCTTACTGATATTATAATTTACCCCAAGTCAATAATCATAAAATGGGACATAGTGTTACTGCCGAGAATCAGAAGGTCTGTATTGCTTCAGAACACTCTCGAAAAAGGTTCTTTCAACTCTCTTAAATGGATTGTACAAATTCGTAAGTTTGCTAGTTTTAATATAACAGAGACGGAAATCTCTGTAAGTGAGAATGAAGCTCAAAGCAACCGAAGTTTTGAATACACCATTTCAGATCTCACTCCTTCAACTGGTACGATCTTTGTGTACAAGCAATAAATACTACACTGGTAGATGGAACGGGGATGATATTTCCTGATGTAGACTTTCCGTTAATGTTCCAAAGTTCGTACAAAGAAAACAAAGAAATCCTAACTAGTACTTGTAAAGAAGTGGTCACTCCAGAAGAGAACATTTTTCCAGTCACCGAGGTTGCTATAGCAACAACTGTATCTACTTCAACTTCTGCTGTGGTGGTTGCTGTTTTCTTCTTCTGTTGCCCCAAATCCTTTTTTAAGTGTAAATCAAAAAAGCTAAAAGAAAAAGCACCATTACATGATAATGCTAGTCATAAAAACACAAAACAAAAATCTTTTAAGAAGGTCCTGGCAAAAAACAACGAGGCTCCAAGCGGGCATTTTTATTTAGAAGAAAAAGAGAGAACCAAAAGAAATATTTCTTTCAGTGTATTGAGAGATCATTTTGGAAATTCGGACACAGACAAATATTTTCTACGACAACAAGTAAGTTTAAGGACTTTAGATTTACCTCAATCACCTTTCACGAGTCCAAGCTGTGTTGGTGGTTTACTGGAGGGTAATGGCATACAAAAGAAGAAAAAGACTCCATCTGTGGACAGTATTGGTTATCTGGCTCCAAATGTTCATCAAGAGACTAAAACAAATTACATTACTTTACAACATTCAGATAACAGTGAAGGTTATTCTACTTTTAAAAATGGTTCGATGAGGTCATTTACTGCTTATAATGACCCTGAAAAAATTCAGTACATCGGAGGGCAAAATATCCAAGTGCTTGCACAAGGTTCTCGAACTCTTCCAAGACTTACAGGAGTTCCTGCAGCAAAAGATAGTTTTCTTTTTCATTCTCGATACAGTTTGCCTCATTGTTACAGGTCAAGAAGTGTAGGAACTGCTGCCTATCAGACCTCGTCCAGTGAATCGGGTTTGCAGGGTAACAGATCTGATTGGTCGAAAGGAGGCACTGTAGTATATCATAAATCTTGTAGCGAATCGGGTATGCAAGACTACAAAAGTCCTGATTGCATAGCAAGAGGAAAATTTCGGTTTCGCAGCAATTCTTTTAGTGACTCAACAAGTGGCATGGGGTCTCATTGCTCTCAGCTCAGCTCCCACGGATCTGTTACTAGTTCAGACGATGTGTTTATTGATTTAGAAAAACACTTTGCTGCTTCTACCATACCACGGGGTGATTTTGAGTCAAAGATTTCTATAAATCAGCCCTACTGCATTGAACATGTGTAAAGTGACAACATTCGTCCAGTTTTTTTTTTTTATATAAAATTCCGTTAACTTGTAAGTAAATGTGTAAAATTAAAAGTATTTAAATATGATACTTAAAAAAAAAGTAAAAAGGAAAAGTTCGCTTATTGTTGGCGCATACCAAAGACAAACATATTCCCAATTAAGGAAACCCTATTATTAAATTTACATTTTGCAAAAAACAAATAGCGACAATAACTAAATAAAAACATTTCACCCGTAAGATTTCTATGGTCAATACCATCAACTATAAACAAAATTTAACATAAATTCCATGAAACGCTTTGTTTATGTTACGTCGACAGAAGAATTTTTACCGAAACTGTGACCAAAAAACATAAACACTGTGGGTGTAACTTCCATTTTTAGCTTCTGCTAATATTTTATTTGAATAGCTATTTTAACTTGTTTATGTACATAGTAATCAAAACATAGGGTGTTTATAGCTCGTTTACGAGTTCCAAGACGTGACCAGTCACACATAGTAATCAAAACACAGGGTGTTTATAGCTTGTTAACGAGTTCCAAGACTTGAGACAGTCACACATAGTAATCAAAACACAGGGTGTTTATAGCTTGTTAACGAGTTCCAAGACGTGACCAGTCACACATAGTAATCAAAACATAGGGTGTTTATAGCTTGTTAACGAGTTCCGAGACGCACATAGTAATCAAAACATAGGGTGTTTATAGCTTGTTCACGAGTTCCAAGACACACATAGTAATCAAAACATAGGTGTTTATAGCTTGTTCACGAGTTCCAAGACACACATAGTAATCAGAACATAGGGTGTTTATAGCTTGTTCACGAGTTCCAAGACGTGACCAGTCACACATAGTAATCAAAACATAGGGTGTTTATAGCTTGTTCACGAGTTCTAGGACGTGACCAGTCACACATAGTAATCAAAACACAGGGTGTTTATAGCTTGTTCACGAGTTCCAAGACGTGACCAGTCACACATAGTAATCAGAACATAAGGTGTTTATAGCTTGTTAACGAGTTCCAAGACACACATAGTAATCAAAACATAGGGTGTTTATAGCTTGTTAACGAGTTCCAAGACGTGACCAGTCACACACAGTAATCAAAACACAAAATGTCTGTAACTTGTTAACGAGTTCCAAGACACACATAGTAATCAAAACATATGGTGTTTATAGCTTGTTCACGAGTTCTAAGACGTGACCAGTCACACACAGTAATCAAAACACAATATGTCTGTAACTTGTTCACGAGTTCTAAGACACACATAGTAATCAGAACATAGGGTGTTTATAGCTTGTTAACGAGTTCCGAGACACGTAGTAATGTAAATTATTATATTTACACTCACGATATCTCCAGTTTGAAAACCGAAAGAACGATTTACATTATGAGAGTTGGTTATAATGATGTTATTCCACCTATTTAAAAAGCTTATATATATATATTTGATGTTTTACTATGATAAGCCATATTTGTACTGTATGATACTTCACCCACTGTATATTTTTGTACTTAATTTATATTCTGCATATTTTCAAAACAGATAATAGATCTCACTGAACGTGTTCCAATAACTTGGTTCACTTTTCTTTGAATATTATCACAAATAGCTCAATATGAGGCCTGTAAATGATATTATCATTTCGAGTATTCAGGATATAAGAGATATACAACACGATATCCTCTAATGTTGCTTTCTACACTGATATCGTTACTCATTTAATCGTGTTTGAAAACTAGATTTTCAGTTTTGATCATCACCAGTGTATATTATACAATCATTTACATTCGTTATGAATTGTTCTTTAAAAAAAAATATCATACTTGAAAATCAGCGTTTTTGTAAAAGTTGATGAAAAACAGAGATTTGAATCAAACAGTGAGGAGAAATAACCGTTTATTCTTCCTTTATTTAGTTGTATTTAGTATTGCTATCTAGAAAGTCGACCTTTAATAAAACATTGGTGTAGTATTCACTGGAGTTCATTTTGTGGTCTTAAACATAAGCAGACAAGAAATATATATATATACAGAAATAATATGAATGAGATATATTTTCCCGACTTAAATTTACAATCCCAACTTACATATCAACCAGTTACATCAGCTTAATAACATCGACAGATACGAATTAATGTGCTAAACTGTCAATCCCAGAATTAATATTAGTGTACCGATGCCTATAAATGTTCATGCTCTGAGGCTGTGGATGCGTTATTATATTGGTGATCAAATCCTATTTTTCAAATGAACTAGCACAACTTAGGAATGACTAGCGCAGTTAGTCCTTGTGTAGCTTTATGTAGATTTCCATAAACAAAATATATCCACCTTTAAACTGGGTGATAACTTACCGATTTTCCACCCTCTATAGCTCGAAAGATGGTAATCCGAACTATCATATATTTTCAGTGGATGTTCTCTGCTAGACCCTTAGTTCATTCACATACCAAATTTCAAGACAATCCATTAAGAAATACTTGAGATATAACATTTTCAATTTCGATTGAGTTTTTTCCTTTTTTCTTTTTTCAACCAAAAGTACGGAAGCTTTATTTAATAGAAAAATATACTCAAATTTTATGAATATTTTTCACATATGGTAAACTGACAGATCTTTACATCTAGAATTAGGACTCTCACTTAGTGTAAATGTAAGCCACACGTACAAAATTATTCAACAAAAACCGTTCAAAATGAGTTTTAAAAATGAAAAATGCTAACAACAAACGCACAGTACAGGGGGTGTAGCTCAGTGGTAGAGCGTTCGCTTTGCATGTGAAAGGCCCCGGGTTCGATACCCGGCACCTCCACAGTTGAAGAACTTTATAAAGTTTTAATAAATAAATTTCGAGCATTGATAAAGTGTTTGATAAGTTTTTTGTGAATTTTATTGGTTAAGTCCTTGCCACAGACACATCATAAAAGAACGTTGAACGATATCTTACAAAAGGCAAAGTGATTGTATACTCTACACAAAACCTGAGTTTGTTGAAATATATTTGAGTACAATAAATGTAAGTACAAGAATATAATTTGGGGTTTCAAATTTTCACACTTTTAGACACACACACACACATATATATAAGTAGAAAAATGCGAAGGTGATAAAATTTGACTTTTAGAGAAAAAATCACTTTCCAGTTTCGAGCTTGAAAAAGAACGTTTGCTCGAAACGTGGCCAAGTACATGAATTATTACCATAGTTTTTAAAGGTGCTTTTTTCTCTAAAAGTCTAATTTCATACATATATATGTAACGTCTGAATAACATGTGAATACACAAAATACCGTTAGCCTTAAACGTCACAGTTATAGCAGGAAATATTTTTTTCAGAGCTGTAGTCAGTCATTTTTGCACCCTGGGCAAGTTTTCACGAACTGTGTCCCCCTTTTCTCTTACTGGCCCGTGCATGTTGCTATGTGGAAGTTCCATATAGTTTACTGTATGACCTTTTCACGGTGCACATCCTTGAAGAACAAATTTGTTAATAACAGTCGCTATTCCGTCAATATTACTCTATTGTTTTATTTCATATCATTTCCCAAACTTTTAATCCTTGAGAGATTTATCATTTAACAATTATATTATTAACCATAATGATTGTTGTTTAAGATTCATAATGTAGGTAAATTGATATGTAGAATTATATACAGACTTTTCTCTATGTTAAAATACTTTTATTTGCAATTTATTGGTTCTTTTACTTGAGCCTTCATTGGACATTAATTTAGTTAAAATACATGTTGAAGCAGATATAATCAGCTAAAGAGT